GTTGAAGATTTTATCCACTACTCATCTCCCTGTTGTCAAAAGGAAGCAAAATCGGCGCTGCAGGATCTACATTTTTTCGCTGATTGAAACAGTAGAAATATGAGTGTTCTTATGTTTGTTCTGTCTCCAACTAAAGGATTTTTTTTGGATTTACGTGTTATTTCATTTAGGCTGTACAAAAAATTCCGCAAGGAGCAGCTCATGCCGATAACGACAACGAACACCAGCAGCTACAATCGGCATGTGAGTCTTGGGGATTCTACGGTCCATTGCCGCCACCACCCAATGTAAGTCTTGTTATAATTCAAAAATGCAGCAAATTAGCCAATTTCCTGAAGCGCTCTTATTAAAAGTTTATCGAAGTACCTTTCTTACAATTTTGTTAAGGAAACTCGTACTGTTGCTGCAAAACTTGGTATCATTGAGATGTATTAGTGCTAAGTGGCAGTCAAGAACCGTCTCTTGAGTTTCTTTCATGTTTTCAGTGGCAATCTGCGCTGTACTCATACGGCGAGGTGCTAGTTTTTCACTGTTTTATTAGGGGACCCTTCTACCATCCGTCGCAGTGTTGCTTTCTCCGCCATAGCCAGCATTTGCTGTTTTGCTTTATTCAGAGTGTTTTTTCGTTTGTTTCTTTGTAATAAGCATGATGTTGTTGTTGTTCGAAGTATGTATTTTGAAATGATTCTGAAGCTTATGCAGTTGGAAACCGTGGTTTTTTTATTCAGTTTTGTGGAAATGTCTTTTTTTTTTTAACTTTATTTTTCTCTCTCATATCCTGGTTAATGGCATCAAATTGCAGCAGTACACGGAAATCAGGCGACCAGCAGCGCGTAACAGCGAACCAACAGTTCGTTGCCCAGTGATTAATCGTCGGCAGCACCAATCGCATGCTCTTCGCCAGGTGAAATTTTTGCATCTTTCTGTTTTAAATATGTTTTTTTTTTGTTCAAACCGTTAGCCCGAGGCGTTTGTTGCTGTCAAGATGCAGTTTTAACAAACAGCGAACCCAGCCTTGTTGCGAATGCAGACGAATTACATGGATCGGAAGAAAATCGAACTCCTCCTCATTTTCCTTATGAGAGGAATAGGTCTTTTTTGTTATGTTATTAGTACACCAGGAGTTGAACTCCTAATTTTCAGAGCCATTTTTTTTTCACGCGGATTTGTTATTTAGTCGGCATAAGTGACCCTTTATTAGATAAGCACACAGATTTTTATCGCGACCTTGAAAGTTTGTGGGTTAAACTAGTATGCGTGCCTTATGTATATGTACATATATGTCTGTGTGCATGAGTGTATATGGGTAGTCAACTTCTAGTTGCAGATATATGTTTATAGTTATATACAGAAGCTAAGGTTATGCAATGTAAAGGGAAATAGAGGAAATAAAACCCAGGTTGGGACGCACCAGGCGGGCCGGTGCGATTATGCGTTTTTGCACTTTTCGTACCGCAGCAAGATCGT